TTAATGTCAATGATATGAATATATTGTAGTCCAATAACAGGGGGATGGGAGCTGGAGCAAGTAAGGCATTGGGTCTGGACAGTGACAATTTCCCACAGCTTGATGCCATTACTCCTAGTGGCTTTCGATGCAGTAATCAGGAGCATAATCTTCACCAGCCCTCCTGATTTCTACAGCCACCAATGTGCCAGTATGCACAAGTGGTTAAGTGATTGGGATATCCCATACTCTATGATTATAGTTGATGAGTCAGCTTCAAGAAACTGAGAGGCGAATGGCTTAACAGTCTTGTCTGCTTCCTTTTGGCTTTCCATACTATGAAACCTGGTACTACCTACAGTTATCAGTTCCTTATCTACTCCTATTATTATTATCTTTTTCTAAACTACATACATAAGGCTACAGCCAAAACTCTTATGTATTATACCAGGCATTACCTTAATAATCAAAGTATTCTCATTATTCAGAAATATCAAAAGAGGGACTTTGCGGTAGTTATTGTAAAAATTGTAGATTTCTGCGAGCTTGTCCTCCGCCACCTGTATAAATATGATATACTCGCTGGTATTATAAGAGTGTGACCTTTTGACTTGCAAATCAATTGTTTAAGCAAATAATTCAATCTCATTGTAATTTTGGTAATCTACATCTTCCAACTTCTGGAGAAAGAAAGAGCTGTGGTCATGTAACTCACTAGGTATTGGTACTTGGGAGGTGGGAGGGGGGGGGATTAGATAAGTATCTACTTGCATGGCTGGTAATATTTCTTGAATATGGAAGTGGGTGGTCCTAGCTATTTGGTGTTGGTATCAGGTTCATCAGTTGTTTGAGTAGTAGCGAATGTAGTGGTTACCTGTTATCTTGCCAATCTAGACACTAGCACCAAGCTTTACACAAATTTGTACCAAGATATCCAGATACTTAACTACTGTATTAACTTGTATAAGAGGTTTTCATGTTTTTTTTTTTCCATTCGTGACGCCAACCCCCACAGTATAGTCATGTCTGAAAAGTCTACATACTCCTCTTAGCAATACTGCCACTATCAATTACCTCAATACCCCTCCCCTACTATGACACTATTACATTCGCAAATGCTTAGAGAAGACCAGAAAAGCAAAATCAATGCCCTATATAAATATACTGATATGGGGTATAGTAAAATTATAAAACTTATGAACCTCTCCAAGTTAACTGTTTCAACAGTGGTCAAAAATATGAAATCTAGAGATGGAAACATCCTTGATGCCCCCAGATCTAGCAGACCAACCAAGATTACTGATCCCAAAAGGCAAGTAATTCTTGATATTATCAATGCTGAGCCTCATTTAGCACTAAGAAACATTACCCACAAAGTCAATATTGGTCTTAAAAAAGATACTGTTAGCAAGATATCCAAAGAAGCCGGTTTTAAACTTAGGATACTTAGGAAAAAGCCTTTTTGGAGAAAAGGACAGAAGGAGAAGAGAAAAGAGTTTACTAGGGCCAGGAGGAACTGGACAAGAGCTTGGAAATGGGTTGTTTTTGTAGATAAGGACACATTTGAAAATGATCCAAATACAGTGGAAAAAAGATCAGACTTAGACTAGATGAAGAGTTGGAAGAAAAGAACTTAAAGCCTAACTTTAAGTCAGGACATACCAATATAGGTGTATATACTGCAATGATACATGGAGAGAGGACTGAGCTGATTCTGGTGAGGAAGAGGAGTGAGGAGGAAAGGACTAGCAAGAGAGACAGGCTTGGTCTCAATGCCTACCAATATGCAACTGAGATCCACCAGCCATACCTTATCCCCTTCATAGAAGGGATAAATAGAGCTCCTGAAACCATCTATATGGCTGCTGATAATGCTTGGGGAACAATGGAGCAGAAAACAAAAAATAGCAGGAGGACTGTGGATATCAGAGAGTAGCTTGGCCTCCCAACTCACCAGATCTCAACCCTATTGAGAATTCCTGAGAAATTCTCAAAAAAGCCCTCAGAAGGCGATTCTCCAAGGTTGAGAGAAGGCCCCATAGTGTTGCTGAGTTATTTCAGGCAGCAAAGAAAGAGTGGGACCTCATTCCCCAAGGGAAATTTGATGGGTAGATTCAGAGAATGCCTGAGAGAATTCAGGCTGTATTGGATGCAGATGGAAGCCATACAAAATGGTAGCATTAAGAAACTGTTATTTTCTATTTCTACTTTCATCTATTTTAAAATTGTACTCATATGATTTTTTTGGTGTAGTTAATATCATTATTTGTGGTGGTAGTGCCGTTGCCGTGAGGGTACGTAGACTTTCCAGACACGACTGTACACCAACTCTGATTAACTTGCCGTACTAGTACTCAAGTACCAGGGGTTGGAAGAAAGTCTGCTGAACTCTTGGTGTCAATTCACATAGCAAACACAGCCAAGAGTTTGACAGACTTACCTACAACTCCCGGGTAGAGTATAATACTGTATCAGTACTACTTGTATGTAGAGTGCCCTTAACATTGAATGATGGGCGGTTTAGTATGAACTTGGTAACAAAAGAAACGCACCCCCCTCGCCTTGCCAAGCCATCAGAAAATTTCTTCTCAACAATAATGACTACAACTCCTCTCTCCCATACAGTGAGCCACATACATTATGGTACTCCAATACGGTCTAGAGTCCATACGCTATAGGACTTAGGATTTTCAAAGCATGAAATATCACGACGTACTGGTGTGCCATGAAGAACTGTTAGTGGTTGGGCAAGCGAGTTTCACGAACAGTAGAACAAGTTCCGATCTGGCCGTTTCTGACTCCTCATGACAGGAGATATTTGGCTCCTCATTAGGCTGCTATGGAGCGGATGGGAGGGTAGAAGGTTATCATGGTCAAGGCTAGGAAAGGAGGCAGGGTTGTCAGTTTCTGGAATAACGGTTAAGAGAGCCCTTGATGAAAAGAGATATACACGATGTAAAGCCTGTAAACGACCTTTTATTTCAAAAGAATGCCAGCAGGATCGTCTGCACTATGCAATTAAGCATATTGAAGAACCAAAAGGATATTGGTGTCTGCATATGTACTCAGATGAGTGCACTTTTGATACATCAAAGAGGGAGTCCCAGTGGATTACACGATTGAATACCGAGCGCTATCACGACGATTGTATACAGCATACCTTTTCCAGTGGCCGAGGTTCAGTAGGAGTCTGGGGTGCTATCAGCTATAGTTGGAAGTTAGATCTTGTATTTCTGCAAGGCACAGGGAAGAAAGGTATCACGGCAAGTAATTACCTAGAACAGGTATTAAAGCCTATTGTTGTCCCCGTGTTTCAGAGCCAAAAGCACTATATCACCTCCCCAGGAGCACAGTATATCGAGGATGGAGCGCCATGGTATGGGGTCAAGCAGGTGCTTGTGGAGCCCAAAGAAGAGTTAGGCATTCCGTTACATAAATGACCTTCGCAATCTCCTGATCTCAACCCAATAGAAAACGTGTGGAGGATCATGAAACAGCAGATTAAGGGCAGAAATCACTTTCCTGGAACTATTACTGAGATGCGAAATGCAATTCAAGAGGAACGGGACCGGCTCCGGCCTTCTGACTGAAATCCTTTGATAGATAGTATGCCAGAACGAATTTTGGAATTGAAGGAGCGCAATGGCATGCAAACCCACTGGTGACTACATGTATTAACCTCTACTTGATTGTGTATTTTATGATTATGCTTTTTTTATTTCACTAGTATCTGTTGTGTTTTGGAGTGGTAGTTGCAGTTACTATCTCGGTCATATTTCACGGGGGGGCGCGTTTCTTTTGTTGCCAAGATCGTACTTACAGTGATGCGCTGGGGTGATGGGCAGCAGCAATGCACCGGGTTGCGGTACATAGCCCCTGGAGGAACTTGTTGTTTGCTCAGGCGGATCAAAAAAAGGATCCTAACGCGCCCCAAAGAGGCATCCAGGGTACCGCTTCTGGACCCTCATCGTGAAAGATCACTCCAAAGACCCCTATCGCTACTACCCGCTGTGACCTGTCGTGTACTTGTATGTCCGGCATCACACGCATCATACCGGTACAATGTTGTTGCTATCCTATTGTGCGATCGATGCACCGCGTAAACAGCGCGCCTGGGGCTCCGTACCGCGTCGGACAACTAGTTCTTATGACGGGATACCCAGTCTACAATGCTCTATCCTGCCTTCTTCCACTGGGGTATTAAATCCTTGCACACGAACAGATAAACCACCGGCACTGGGATAACATGGTTCCTCACGAAGGCATAACCGCTATCATGCCTGTATCTAGTGGTAGACAATGATATAAGTATAATGCCACCATTTATTTGACCTGAACCCCAATTTGTTGATGTGACAAGATGAGGTTACCCTCCATGGTCTAGAGTCGTGGCTGGGGCTCAATTAGTCTAGTTTCCTTGGCAACTTTGAGCCTCAATTGGAGGCACGATACTGTGCATCTGGCAGTACGGTGGTACTAGTAAACCCTGCTCTGCCACCTAGAAGTACCGTACACAAGCAACTCTCGAGTCAGATCTTCCCACCAACTCCTCACAGAGCCCTCTCTTCTCCCTCCCCCGCACAGGCTCTCTCTTCCCTACATCTCTCACCTACTTGACTACAGCAACCTCACTGACATCCGCCACACAACTGCGCGCTGATTTTGGTGTTTACAATTCAGCGGTCGTCGATCTGGTACCCTCTTTATTACATTTCTAGATTCGTTCCTTTACAAATCAAATCCTCCAATTCCTTTCTCTAGTCTAGCTGGTCTAGATCTTTGATCAGTCTTGATGCCGCCAACGCGCCGTACTCCTCGTCGTGGGGGCTGGAAGGTAATTGTCGTTGAACATTTTGCGCACAAGTTGGCGTTTTATCACTGACTTCACCTCCCAGCCAGGTACGCCGATAAAACCTAGAAAACCTCGTACCTCGATTGAAATCGATGCCGCATTTTTTGCAACAATAGATTTGCTCAACGACTTCTCGAGTCTGTGCGCTGTGGGTTCGGTAGACTTGGAGATGCCCAGAAGACCAGCTCCAGGGATGGAGGCTCCCGACTGCTGGAATTGGCTCGAGATTCCCCCCATCCAATTCCCAAAGCATTCCATGGCCGACAATCTAATCCAGTTAGCATCGCTTTGTGTCCTAAGATGCACGTATAGGATGATCGCAGATTCTACTGCAAGAGTCCGAATCTACATGCTCCCGGATGACGTTGGAAGACGGGTTATACCGAGAGATAGCCGGGAAATTAGCAAGTTTCGACGGGAGGTCTTATATGCACTTGATACCTCTGAGGCAGGTTGGCGGGGGTTAAAGGTGAAAGGCCATAAGCCACTTGTGGCTCCGGGTGATGTGCATCTGTCCCTCTTTTACCTGTTTAATACTTTGGATTCGCCCAACCCGAATCCCAAAGCAGAGTGGGTCAGAGACCGCAATACCACCGACCTCATGAATCGGGTCCTGAAAAAGCCAGTTGTGGGGATGAAAAATCCACTGTATGGGTACCAAAAGAAGACCGTTGCTATGATGATCCAGCGGGAGCTGGCACCTGAGAATACACAAGATGCTAGGTTTAGATGCTTTACTGGTCCCCAAGGACGAAAATACTACCTTGATCTTGAGACTACGGAGATGTTAGTTGAACCGAGGAAATATGAGGATGTCCGAGGAGGAATACTAGCGGAAGACACGGGAACAGGGTGAGTCCGACTGGTCCTTGTTACATATCTCGCTGACATGGTCGATGGATAGGAAAACCTTTATTTGTCTGGCACTCATTTTAGCGACGAAGTATCAGTACTCTTTTATCCCTGAAGAACATGAGGAGCCATCACTCCTTCGCCAGTCCCCCCCTTCATTGTCTGATCTTGCGGTAGCAGCCATCTGGAAACACTCGTTAGGGTGGGGAGAGTTCAAAGATGACCTCGGCGCCGTTAATCTCGCTAAACTTAGGGCGGCGCATGCGTTCTACGAAGTGCAACCCCCCTCAAGGAGCCGAAGCAAGCGTTATAGCCCTAGTGATGTTAAAGAAAGGATATATCTCGGGACTGGAACTATTGTTGTGTGCCCCCCTAATCTTGTAGATCAGTGGAAACGAGAAATCAATATTCATGTTGAGGAAAAGGCCCTGAAGGTGATTGTGATGCTTCCCTCGAATTTCAGATCTGTTGCTAACTATGTTAGACACTTGCACTTGTGAAGTCGTCTGAAGGAATTCCTCCTGTATCGGATCTCTTGGAATATGACCTTGTTATCATCGCCCGACCTCGCTTTGATATGGAGGAGAGGGAGGGTCGGGATAAGGCTGGGAGACGTGAATCAGGCGGGAAACCACTTAGCTGCAGATGCCCTTATAAGGGAGCTACAAGAATTGCCGATTGTGTCTGCTTTGATAGAGATGCAGTATACAAGTCGCCACTAATGTCGATTCGATGGAAGCGATTAATCGTTGACGAGGGCCACTCAATGGCGTCTTCAAGTTCTCTAATGAATCGAGGTGTTTGCGTCGCTCAGCGACTACCAGTGGAGCGGCGGTGGATTGTCTCTGCTACTCCGGTTACAGGTCTATTGGGAATGTCCTCCGGTATGAATATTGGGGAGACCGAAGAGGCGCTGGAGGCCCGTAGGGAACAGGAGTTGGAGGAACGCAGAGTGGCGCAAACAAACGAATCCAATGATCTCGAGAAGCTCGGTCGTATAGTTTGTGATTTTCTAAGAGTACGTCCTTGGGCTTTACCTTCTGAAGGTCAGAGCAGTGAGTACGCTTCTTGGAAAGCCTACGTTAGTAAAGGCTTTATGCAGCGGCAGCCAGGATCTACTGATTGTGTGCGGAGCATTCTCCAGAGAATAATGATCAGGCATCGTTTGAAAGACATTGAGAAAGACGTTGCACTTCCTCCGCTGTATCACACTCCAGTTTATTTGGAGCCTGGATTCTTTGAGAGACTATCAATGAATCTATTTCTAGGCGGTATAGCGTCAAATGCTGTTACAAGTGAACGGGTAGACCAAGATTACATGTTTCACCCAAAGAACCGTGGGCCGTTGCGGGAATTGACCAACAATCTGTTGAAACGAAGTGGATTTTATTGGATGGGTCACTCAAGTGCAGATGTGCAACTCATGGTCGCAGTTAGCCAGAGGTGTCTTGCAGACCCTACAAAACATCACAACAAGCAGGATAGGGAGTTGTTGGAGTCGGCCATAGAATCAGGTTTGAGAGCATTGAGCAATCCTGTCTGGAATGCTTGCATTCGCAACTCTGAGATGGGTCAGATCTCTTCTCGTTGTCTTTCCATAAACAGTGGCTAATACTATACGATGTGAACAGCATACTCGGTCCTACATTTTCCGGCATCGATCGCTGCCGAATGGGCCCTGGTGAAAGGATCCAATAACCCTTACCCAATAGGGGGAAAGTCGGTGCAGGATGTTCAACGATACGTGAATGCGCATGCGTATGATCCCAAACTTATCTCAAAGCTTGGGGACAAGGTTGGAGTGGCTGCAGCAGATGTATATTTAACCGGCAACACCAGAAGAAACGGTAAATCCAAAATGACATCTACCGTGGTAGGAAAACATAACGCGGAGGAGCGCTCTGCGAATGACGCCGAGATCAAGTCCAACCTTAAATCTATCCTGAAGCGATGTGCAACGCCCATATCTACCGTTTCCGAGGACTCCCCACTGGCGAGGACAGAGATAATCGGCACTGCCTCGCAAAAACTAACCTACCTCTTAGACAAGGTTCTAGAGTACCACGAGACTGAGAAAATCTTGATATTCTACGAATCCGAGGACGTGGCATTTTATATCGCTCAGGGGTTGGAAATAATTGGCGTGGAATACCTTGGGTACCAGAAAAACTTGCCCAGCCACGAGAAGGCAAAATACCTCGTGACTTTCCAGTTCTCGCAGACGTTCCGTGTGTTCTTAATGGACCTCTCCCAGGCCGCCTTTGGCCTGAACATCTCGGCTGCTAGCAGAATCTTCTTCGTGAACCCAGTTTGGCAACCCAGCGTTGAGCACCAAGCACTGGCACGTGCGCACCGCATCGGACAGAAGAGACCAGTATATGCGGAGACGCTGATCCTGAACCACACTATTGAGCGAGAGATGTGGGATCGCAGGCAAGGGATGACAGCAGCAGAGCTAAACCTCTCGAAGGGTGCGGCAGCAAACGACTCGAAAATGAGGGACATCATATCAAGCACTAAGTTCCTTAAAACCGACGACACAGAAGGGGAAGTAGATCGCAACGGCAATCCCAACACCTCCATCTCCTCCGACCGCTTCGCCAATCTCAAGTGTCCGCAGAGCCTCCTAGGTCCCGGGAAGCACGGAGGGGTCTACAGTCATGAAGGCCTGGACGACAGACTCAGAAAAACCTATAAGGCGCCGCGCGATAGGGCTTCTTCACTGACACCAACGACACCAGATTATCTTGAATTAGGCAGCGACGAGGAGATAGTCAGCGACCTGCGTGTCGCACCCCCACCAAAGCGCAGGGCATCCGTGGCGTCTTCTGGAGCCGGGAGTAGTGGCAAGAAGAGAAGAGGGTCCAGCAATAGCAGTTCCAGTAGTGCTGCTGCCGCGAGGAAGGCTGTGCGTTTTAGCTAGGGAACGGCGATGATGGTGCGGTGCAGCAAATTGACTTACGGATTGAGATTTTTCAAGGTTAGGGATGTAAATGGAAAGCGAGGCTTTTTCTCTTTCTTTTTTCTTTGCTCTTTCACTTCTTTTCCTTTGGTGGAAAAGGCGTTTGCTCGGACATTTCCTTCTTTTTATGTGATACCTCTTACCTTCGCTTTCTCTTTGCTGTTAGCTTGCTCTGTCTTAAAAAGTTTTTCTTACCATTTTTTTTCTACTTTTATCATTTATGGGTGGATAGGTGGGGTTTCGACTTGCTGGCTGGCGTAAAACATATATATATATATATATATATATATTTCTTCCACTTTTTGACTTCTCTTTAATTTTTTTCTTTTCTTTTCCTTTTCTTTTTCACTTCTCGTATTTGCATCGGCTGTCTATCTAGCTATTATATTAAACCACGGAATGGGGTTGGGTTGGGGTGGAGTGTAGTGATACTGTATCTTACCTTAGATAAAGACGATAATATAAATTAATGGCTTAGTCCAGTTGGTGCCGGGGTTAGCCATATGATTGTGAGAAGTGAGATCTTGGGAAAGCCACGAGTGGGTGATGGATTGAGTATTGTAGAGTACATACAGGACAGTGAAAAATGTATTTGGGGAGTTTAAGGATGGTGCGGGTTTCCATCGGGAAATGTCAATGGCACTTGCGGGTATGTCTGGAGATAGCTCGTGGGTTGTTGGTAGGGCACTTTGTCTTACACACACACTTTCTCACACTCTCTCGTGTTCTTACCTGGGTAATGTTCAGTGTGTTGCTACCGTTTTTTTACTGGTCGTGGTTTACATTGTGATATTCATTGTTTGACCGATTGGGAAGCGGAAACATGGGATTATAACATATGGTATATTCACAATTCATCCGCCAGATAACGCAAAACCTCTACACCATAAAATAAGAAACTCAAACCCATCTATTGTCTAAAAACCCATTCGCAGCCCAGGCAGAATCCCCGCTACTGAAGCTCAATAGTCCCCGGCGGCTTCTGCGTAACATCATAGACAACCCTACAAACCCCATCCACCTCATTTACAATCCGGCCAGCAACCTTTCTCAAGAACCTTCCGTCGAAGTCGAACCAGTCAGCCGTCATGTAGTCAGTAGTCTCGACTGCTCTCAAAGCGATGACCTGGTCATAGACCCGCTTATCGCCCATGACGCCGACCGCGCGGACGGGTAAAAGGGCGGCGTAGGCTTGAGAGATCTTGCGGTAGAGGCCGGCGGCCTTGATCTCCTCGATGAAAATATGGTCCGCTTTGCGGGCGATGGCGACCTGCCCGGGTGTTACTTCTCCCAGGATGCGGATAGCGATGCCAGGTCCCGGGAAGGGGTGACGCCAGACCAAGTCTTCGGGGATGCCGAGCTTTGTTCCAAGGACGCGGACTTCGTCTTTTAAGGTTGTTAGTTTGTATTCTTTGTATGGGGAGGGGGGGTCGGGAGGCTACCTTTGAAGAGTTCGCGGAGGGGCTCAATGAGCTTGAGTTTCATGTTCTCAAGGAGGCCACCCACGTTCTGATTTTCTGTTAGCAGATAACTAAGGATGGGGGAGGGGGACGCATACGTGGTGAGTCTTGATAGTAGCACTCGGGCCCTTGAAAGAGATACTCTCAATAACATCCGGGTACAAAGTCCCCTGAAGTAAGAAATCCACAGCACCACCACTCTCCCTCATAACCCTCTCAGACTCCCTCTGGAAAACCTCAATAAAGGTATTTCCAATGATCTTCCTCTTCTTCTCGGGATCCTCGACGCCTTTAAGCTTCCCCAAGAACTCCTCAGAGGCATCAACGACGGTAAGATTGATTCCCAACCCTTCAGTCAAAGTCTTATGCACGGTCTTACACTCATTCAACCTCATAACCCCGTTATCAACGAGGATAGCATGAAACCGATCACCAATAGCCTCATGCATTAGCTTCGCCGCAACAGTAGAATCAACACCTCCAGAAACAGCTCCGATAACCTGCCCCGTTGCCCCGACAACCTTCCTGATTCTATCAATTTCGGTGTCGACAAACCTTTCCATCGTCCAATTCTGCTTACATTGACAGAGCTTAACAGCAAAATTCTCAATGAGAGCCTTCCCGCAGGAGGTGTGCGTAACCTCCGGATGGAACTGGATGCCGTAAAGCTTCTTCTGGGCATGTGCAATTCCGGCGAAGGGAGCGTTGGGGGTGGTAGCAATGGTGACAAAGTCCATTGGTAGAGCGCGGAGCCTATCGCCATGGGACATCCATACCTCTAGTTCGTCTGCTAGGCCGGAGAATAGGACGTCGATGTGTGAGGGGGCGTCGGTGTGTCTGGCTACGCTAAGGATTGCATGGCCGTACTCTTTGCGGTTACCGGCGGAGACGTCTTTGCCGTGGTTCCAGGCGATTTCTTGGAGGCCGTAGCAGACACCAAGAACTGGAACCTTCAGGGAAAGGGTCTGTTAGCTTTGTGGGAAGCGGTGGAGGGGAGTAGGTGTTTATACCTCAATCTCGAAGACAGTAGGATCGACGTGTGGTGCGTCGGCGTCATAGACGGAATATGGAGACCCGGAGAGAATCACACCCTTCGGCTTCCATGATAGGTCTGCGAGTTTCTGAGTGCAGGGGAGCATCTCGGCGTAGACATTGAGTTCACGAAGACGACGGGTAATCAGGTGACTGTATTGGGATCTGTATGGAAAATTTAGCAAATCGGCAAGGGATAGATAAGTTTTAAGTTCCCCACAAGAGAGGGGGGACAAACCCGAAGTCAAGAACCTAATTATTCCAAACTGCACTGTCAGATATGCGCCGTGAATTCAATCAAAGGGTATAAAGTACTAGAATCGTATCAAATAGCTTAGCTACCTAGAAAAGCAGAAATGTCAGACAGATGATGGTAGGGGGGGGGGAAACAATGTGAATTGGGAAGAATATACAACCTCGGGCCCGGATCCTGCGGTTTTGTGGGCCATCCTGAGTGAAGTTTGTTTGTTGAGATTTGTTTTGTGGTGCGAAATAATGTGAAAGACGGGGATGGCGGGGTGGTAGGGTTATATCTTCCTAAGACACTGTTTTGAAAAGAAAGAAAAAAAGAAAGAAAATTTTTTTTTGATACAGTAGTGAGGTCGGAGAGGTGTTTTTGTAATGGGAAATGATGTAGTAAACGGGGATGCAGGGATGGTGGGGTTACGGTATAGGTACTCGTGTCTCCGCGCCAAGAATTGGCACCCTTTTTGGAATAGGCGCTGTGAACCCATAAAAAGTATAGTGTTTGAGCTGCTTGGAGGGAGTCAGAGGTTCCAAATAACACTGGTATTCAGTAAGAATGACGAACAGTACCAATATCCAGTGACAATAGACCCAGAATGCAGGTAGAGGAACAATCCTACACCCAATAGCAACACCACCAGACGTTTTGTGAAGTTCACCATATGGTATACAGTTTTTCTTACAAGGTATATACCCAGTATCTGTACTAATGGTATTAAAGAGTTAATGTAAAAAGCAGTACAACAAATGGAAGAAGCCTTACAATTGTTATATGGGGGGCCATCATTGCTCTCCATCAGTGTGTTGGGATATCATTCGATCAAATCAGATTGGTATTGGGTATGCCTCATGAAACAGCATGTATAACATATAAGCGGGTAGCTGTAAGTTACCCAGTATGAGATTCTTAATCAAGAGTATGTTTTGAAGGCTAAAAGTCCAATCTGTAGGAGGACACACAGAGTCTAGAAATTAAAGACTTACTTGATACTATAAATCAAGGTGACAAGAAGCGGGAGGAACCTGCCATACCACAGAAGTACCCTCCTGGGAGTGAGGTTTCTCAAAGATTAAATGATCTTGCTACACTAGATAAAGAGCATCGTTTCTGGACATTCCCTCAAATAGCCTTAGAAGCTGGCATCCAAGTGGCAGATTCCACAATTTATAAAATAATGTATGAGCACCACCACCTTTATCACTATCATCCATGCCATAAGCCACCTCTTGATGCGATTGTAAAGTGAAATTGGCTAAGACTGGCTGATTGGGCTTTAGGACAGCCAATTAAGTCATTTGTTTATACAGATAAGATGATGTTAGAGGTTGGAGCACCTTGATGTGTAAAGAGAATTACTAGAGAAAGAGGTCAAGAACCATACCAGGTACCAATTCATGACAAGAAAAAGGAGAATCGATTTACAATAATAGTATCAGCAAGCGTTTCACTTGATTTTAAAGATCCTATTTGGATTTGGATAAAAGAAACACATGAAGAACGATAAGAAAATGTGGACAAGCTCCAACAAGAAAATATACTAACAGCAGAATGGATGGCACAAAGACAAGCTAATGTCCTCAGACTAGGTACTGAAGAACACACATATATCTTTGCTCTGAACCGCCAAATTGATTTCTATAATGCCTACTAGGAGCTGAACAATTCCCGCCGAGTACGCTACCATCCATATTGGGAATTTAAGGCGGAAATGCGTGAAAGAGGTTCTGGAGAAGGTATGGACTGGTTTCTTTATAGAAAGCAGGTTCAACAAAAAAGGGTCTATCCTTTCATTGAAAGAATTAAAGCTGATATGGGTCATATTAGGAATACTGAGATCTGATACCCAGAAGTCACCCTAAGTAGGGTAACCTTACCTGGAATTGGAATCTCTGGTCTCCAACACCACCCTCTGGCCCCCTTATAGGGCCCACATGTCATCATACATATCAAGCTCAGTTGCGTCCTGTAACTATAATATTACAGATTTGAAAGTGTCAGAATAACACTGTTTATGTCGCTGCCGTCTGTCTGCCCGGGTCCTTTTCGCAGGATATATGAGAAGGGACCTTCGGCTAGGTCTGAGAAGTGGAACAGAGTGAATCTGTCAACCACTCAGAACACTATTAGGCTTCAAAGATGTGATACCTTTGGCATGGGCCATAAGTAACGGGACGTTTCTGCACAAGGAGATGGTCTTGAATAGTAAAGGATCTCAGCAAGAGACCAATACATTCACACACGCACTACAATATCTAGAAGAGTCTAGAACTCCAGGAAATACTACTACAAAAGTTATTAGACTTTACGGAGTGTTGCAACCAGGTTTCGGAATACGTTGTAGTTATGAAGACAACTTCCCATCTACAACAGTGATTGAAATCCTGTTATTCAAAACAACTAAGGGTTGTTAACCAAGGGAATAATTGTCAATCCAGTAGGATATCTTTCTGCAAATTAGTAGGAAATCTTCTAAAAGACATTTATTCTTTAGGTAAGGAGTTATGGAGGTTTAAAGTCAGGCAACCAAAAAAGGTTTGCAAGTACGACTACCTTCGCAGATACAACCCTTAGATAGAACTGATCATTTCAACAATAATAAAGACAATTGGAGTCGACTCAGTTCGACTTGAGAACTAGGCCAATAGTCTAAAGACTCTAAAGATCGGATAACTACTATTGGGAACAGTATGGTTCGGAGTTAGTTATATCATAATTAGCAAAGAAGGTGTAGTTATTTTCACAGTCTCTAGGTGTTCACACCTTTTAAGAATACCTGATGCTGCGAGTTATAATCGGAAAGGTACATAGTGTCATGATAAATAGATGCAGTCCGCAAACACTCAGATGTGGAATATAATTATCGAAGTGTCTCTCAAGCTTTAGACATCATCAAGCAATGGAGAAGAGACCTTAACAATATAATATTGTTTTTACGATTCTATCTTACTTTATCAAATTTACTTCACTCTTATTAGTCATAAATGAAAGGAGTGAACCCAAGCCTTCATAGACAATCTCTGTCTACAGAAACGAATTTTGATTAGCCTAGACAATTCTGAAGTGTCTCAGATTGTCTCTGTCTAACAGGTCGCAAGTGCTGGTTAGTAGAAGATAAGGCAGGAAATCATACAGCAGCAGCACGAATGGATCATGATGCAGAAGAGTATGAAATTCAAAGAATTCCTTTCTGGCCTCCAAACTCGCCTGATTTAAATGAAATCGAGCGATGTTGCAATTATTTGAAGAACTCTATGGCACAATATAATTTTGTTGGAAGTGGTGAACAGAAAAAACAGTGAGTGCAATAGGCACTATATGTTGAGTGGGAACATATGTTTTAGGAGCTTATTGATTACTTTTGTATGAACTTTCATGTAAATTTATTACGAGTTCAAGTATGTAGAGGGGATAATAGGTTTAATGCATAATACTTATAGACTGAGTATCAAGGATTAGTCTGTCAAACTCCTCTGGTTGACCCAGTTGCTTCTCAGGAAGAGGTAGCATTCCTCTAGCTACTCAGTCAGAGTTTAGCTGACCTTTTTCCTTCACCTAATTTTAGCATTAATTGGCCTAACCGCTATGTTTAACAGACTTATGCTCACACCCTTTGTATGCCCTGAGTCTGAGATCAGAAGAGATTTACTAGTATCTCACTTGTTTGATATTTCTGAAGAAAAGCAGCATTAAGACTATACTTCAAATAGGTCTGGAATGACTATCCCAAAAAGGGTGTCAATTCTTGGCATGCAGATACGAGTATTTCTTCTCAAGAGATTAATAGAAAGTTAACCTCCTATTGAAGTTATCTGACACCATTTATTATTATTATAGCACTTACGTAAAAGTCTTGATAATCATGCATTTTGATGACAAAGACAAAAATAACAACCGTATTTGTAAAAGGTAGTAGAGAAAGTAGAATTGCATAATAACAGAGGCTTCAGGTGATAAGAAGCTAGAGAAAATGAATACTGTTACTAGACTTACACTTCAGTAAGAAATATACTGGCTCTCTGCTGCTATCATAGTATAATGATCCCTCCTCGGATGGTTAGTTCTTGGCGACGGGGAGCGATACTTCTCTTCTGTTACTTCTTCTTCCTTCGTCTTATAATAGCGCTATACCTCTGCCTACGTTACCGATAGTACAAGACCTTTGTCTTCTATCGGGGATGCCTATCATAAGCTTTCTCTAACTCTTCTTCGTGAAGAACCTTTCTTGGTGTAGCAATAATGTTGCAATAAAGATAAAGATTGTAAAAGTGTTTTATATTCGTTAAAGTAATAAATGGGAAAAGTACTTAGAACAAAGCATGAAGAACCTATCCTCCTCGGCCGCATCAGCCACCTTATATAGTATTCTTTCCACCCATAGTCATGTGACCCAAAGCGGTCACATGCTCAAAATCCATGACCTCATAGCGAGGTCATGTGCAAAAACTCATAAACCAATCATAACGCAATAAACAAGTCATATGACTTGACTGAGTTATATGCGTGAAACCCATGACCTCATAATGAGGTCATGTGTGAAACATAAATTATATGCACAAGGCTTACCCGCAAGGTGCACTCGCAAGGCATACTTGCCAGGCACACGTCTCATGACTCATATTTGAGCCATGTGCGAAAGCATCACAAATCCTACACACAACAAATAATATGACTCGAATGAGTCATATGTGTGAAACAATAACATACCTGTGACTCATAACTATGTTTCACGTAAAAACCTTTTTCGTGCCAAGCCACGTTCATGACACATAGCTTGAACCTGGTCAGGCTTTGACTTTAATAACTGCTCAGGCTAAAAACACTTAGTAGGAATTGTATTCTGTACTAAGAGTAATAACTTAACTAGCTTTATTTTCATTTTTACAGGCCCAATAGGAGCTAAAGTAATGTTTGGATAATGATTCTGGAGTCTTTTCTTCAGTTCAATTCAGACAGTTTTATAGGATTTAGGTTTGATATATTAGCAGAAAGTTTTACCTGTATCCTGTATGGTATATTCTATGTGTCTGACACAGAGAACACTCAAAACAATAATCTTTAATCACGACACAATATGGGCTAGATATTGTGTCCTACTTTGCATCACATGATGTCCTGAAACTGAGAGTAATGTTTTTAAGTCTCTAGTAATATAGAGTAACCGGCAATGATACCAGTTCTTGATATATATATATATATACATATAAATATCTTGTTCTCTTCATCGATAGTTCTTGGACCCTGTAGTTCACTTTACCAATACTCACTTGGGTAATATCTATTATTGTGTCATATAAAGATATTATA